ACACACACACACACAACACACACACACACACACACACACACACACACACACACACACACACACACACCCTTAATGCCTAGTTCATCTTTCCCACTTGTTCCCTATCCTCCAGCCACAATGTTCTTCCTGCTCCTCAGATACAACTAGCTCGTTCTCACCTCAGGGTCTTCACCTTGCTCCTCCCTCTGCCTGAAAGGCTTTCCTCCCAGGCTTTCCCTACCTCCCCTTCTTCTTCCCACTCAGCCCAGCTCCAATTTCATCTCTTCAACATGACTACTAATGAAAAGCAGCCCCGGTGGCACAATGGATAAGCGCTTGGCTACAAACCCAAAGGTCAGCAGTTCGAACCACTCGCCATTCTACAGAAGACCTGACAATCTGCTTCCATAAACATTACAGCCTAGGAAACCCTACGAGGCAATTCTACTGTTATATAGGGTCACTATGAGTCGGAATTGACTCAATGGCATACAACAACCACTAGCTCAAAGGTTGGCAGTTTGAACCCACCCAACGGTGCCTCGGAAGACAGGGCTGGCGATCTACTTCCAAAAGGTCACAGCCTTGAAAACCCTATGGAGAAGTTCTACTCTGCACACAGAGTCCCCATGAGTCAGAAGAGACTCCGCAGCAACTAAAAACTGATCTAAATCAGGTCCCATCACGTCCTGTGCCATAACCCTGTATTTTTTTAATTGCACTTATCACTATATACCAGAGACCCCGGGTGGCACAAGCATTTAAGCACTGGACTACTAACTGAAAAGCTAGCAGTTTGAATGCACCCAGATGTGCTTTGGAAGAAAGGCCTGGTAATCTGCTTCCAAAAGGACACTGCCTTGAAAGCCCTATGGAGCAGTTCTACTCTGACACACACAGGGATGCCTGCCATGAATCAGAATTGACTCAACGGCAACTGGTTTGATTTGGTTTTGAATCACTATACACAACTTTTTGTATGTTTTTTACTTGTTTGTCTCTTTCACATACACACACGTGAAATATAATGTAGCATGTGGCATAAATTCAATAAGTATATTTTAATAAATTAGTTTAAAAAGAGGTAACAGGGTGGCTAATGAATTAGATGCTGAGAGGGTGGGATTTTACTCTGAAAGCAAGGAGGAAATCACTAAGGAGACTAACATTATCATACATTTCAGGAAGTTTACTCCAGAAGTAGACTCCCTACAGGGGGCGAGTGTAGAGGCAGTTAGAAAGTTTATGAGATCAGAAATAAGAAATGACAGGACTAAGGCACAGGCAGTGGAAACAGGCAGAAGGAATGGATTTATGAAATGTTCAAGGAAAATCGATAAAAAAAACTTGGTGACTCACAGGAACGAGAGAGAGAGAAGGCCTGGGTTCCCAACTTGGCAGACCAAGTGAACAAGGGCCCCTTTCACCAAGATGCTAACAGGGAAGAGACTGGACAGGAGTTTACACTTGTGGAGTAAGTGCCTGTGTGTGTAGAGCTCGAGTGGGGAAGGGGCCTGGGGCTTCAGAAGAGTGGTAAGATTGTGAGGATGCAGACAGGTTTGTAGCGGGAATGGAGGTTGCTGAGGCAGTTCATGTCCCTTTCCTGATTTTGCTGGCTGCAGATGAGGAATGTAAGGGAGTTTTAGCCTTAGCCACAGTGAAAAAGCTCGAAGTCAACCCACTCCAACCTCCTATCGGCCATTTACAGACCACCTATGAGGCCCGCAGTGTCATCTCTAATCCTCAGGTAAAAAGAAAAAATAAACCAGTTGCCATTGAGTTGATTCCAACTTAGGATGACCTCCTGTGTGTGTCAGAGTAGAACTGTCTCTATAGAGTTTTCAATGGCTGAGTTTTCGGAAGTAAATCACCAGGCCTTTCTTCCAACGTAACTCTTGGGGGACTAAAACCACCAACCACCAACCATTCAGTTAGAAGCCAAGCCCTTAACTGTCTGCACCACCCAGGGACTCCAATCCTCAAGTAAATACATTTATCCTTTACAGATGTAAACACTGAGGCCTCAATGCTTAACATAACAAACACTCAATAAACATTTGTTGGTTGGGATGAATAAATGAAAGTGACTGAGCAGATATGAAGCTAAATTAACCCAAACTTTAAAAAGAAACTTCATGTATGACCTTGGCCCAGATTTACATTTGGAACTGGATATCAGGATGATGAGCTGTATGCCGAGGTAAAGTTATCTACTATGGTCTGGGACACAATTATCTTCTCTGTCTTCTTCTTGGTCCATTCAGTACCAGAAATTCCCAAATACCCCAGCTTTGTAACTGGACTCCTGAAGACCCCAGGGAAACTCAAACTACTCAGGGAACAGCATTATGAGGAGAGGTCATCTAATGGGGCCATTATCAGCCTTTAACACCTGCACACTGATTACTTAATTCCCAATTTATCCCATATCTGTCAGAGCCCTGTCAAAAGCCAATCAGCCTTGTAAACATAGAAGAGA